GTATAATGTAATGACAATACTCAGTTTAGATAACATATCATTGTTACTGTGTGACCACAGTTTACATTAGGTGGTTAGTATGGGAGTGACTATATACATTGTATGTACTAGTGAACTCAAAGCCCCTCAGTGAGCCGTATACTCTATAATCAGTCCAAAACTTTCTATACAACATAAGACATGCATAATGTAGCAGGAGAATTTTAGTCAAATGCTATAGTTAATAATAACAATAATAATAATTTATCTTTTCAAAACAAAGAAAATTTAGGGACAAGAGTTGTAAAGAGAAAAACATGGACAGGAGAATTTTTGAAGGACTAGCACATAGAAATGTGTAGCCTAAAGTAAAATTTAAAAACATTTAAATTAAGAAATGAAACATGTAGAACAGGGACACGCAAAGTGGAGTGTATGAGGGGAGTCTGAATCAAAAAAAGAATTAAAATGTAACCATAAAAAATCAATAATTTGTTTTTTACTAGAGGGATAGGATTTAGAGAGGTCTATTGAAGGTAATTTGTTCCACAATCTGACAACACGAGCAAAGTAAAAGTGTCTGGTAGTAGACAATCTATGATATTTACAATACAGTTTCCCAGAAGAACCAGATCGAGAACCTGGTCTACAGAAGGTAACAAAAGAGAAGATGTCAAAGTTTTCTGGAGGGAAAAGTATGCATTTGACCAGGAATAGCAGGTCTTGTAGGTCATACCAGTACATGAGTGGCAATATGTTCAGCTCACTGAGGCGGTCCTGAGCATACCGTTTGGCGGTATGTATGCTACTCTTTTGGCGGTCAGTTATTAATTAATGATGCTGCCAAACCCACACCTTCAGCAGTGGTGAGTGGGTAAATGTTTTTCATAAAAAATATATTACTAATAATTGCCATAACACTGCATGTACATATGCAGCATAAAAAATCTAATAAAAATTAGGGGTGATTCCCGAGCTATTTTTTTCAAAAAACCACTGGCTTTAGCTTTGGGTACTTTCTTGAAAAATTGAAATCGGAATCAGCCCAAACTTGCTACACAGCATAAGGACATCAATTTATTTATAATTATTTATGATCAAACTTAACACCAATTATCAATGGCATAGTGTCAAGTCATAATCCTCACATTTCAAAGCCCACAGTGTGATTGGTGTCAAATCCTGACACTATACAGGTTCCTTACTCCATGATGAGTGTATTCCATCATCTGTTGCTCCTTGTTCCTTCTGTTGGTTAGTACT